ACTCAACCACCCCACCACGTTTGGCATCGAGCCTACCAAACCTCAACCAAGTGGGAGTCCTATCGCGGTGACAGCAAGAAAGGTCTTGACTCCCTCAAAGAAAATGTCAACTCGGCCCTCGTTCTTCTCCAAGCCGAGCCCTTGCTGCATATGGCCACCCTCGATCTAGAGGGCTGCACCGCCGCTGGTATCCAGGATATTTATGGCGACATTTCTTCCGACCTGGACTACCTCATCTACGTCAACGACATCCTGGTTGACTGGATCTTACCGTGCTTGAGAGGTGACCTTGCCTCTCGGTTTCAGCGCGAAAAATCACGCCAACGCATCGTCTTGGGCGCCTGGTTCAAACAGATGGGCGCCCTCTTCCTCCAGACCACTCGTCACGACATTACCCAAGCCTCTCAGGCTCTTCGCGACCAACGCATCCGCACGGCCGACGACTTTCCTGTCTACCGCTCCTCCATCACTGCTGCCGTCGATACCCTTCGCATTGAGGGCGCCTACTCGGCAACCCTTGTCATCGCCCAGCTGGTTGATGGCCTGCCTTCAAAACTCAAGGACGTGATTACAAACCTGTATCAACCGTCTTGGGATTTGGGCAAGTTCTTTGAGGTGGTACAGTTGCATCCGAGGTGTCTTCAACTTGCTGCAGCATGGAGCGCAAAACCTCGCGCGGCAGATGGCCAAGAAGACGATGCATCTGCGAAGCAGACACAACATGGGCATGCTGCTGTTGCTGGTGGCGGCGGTGCTGGCGGTGCAGGTGGTGAGCTGGGAGAAAAGAAAAGAAAAACAAGAGTGCTTGCGCGGAAACTTGAAGAGTTAAACCGCTTGAACCACAAAAAAAAAGTGCTTCATCACCCACTGCCAAGCTTCAAGTTAATCGAATCAAAAACTTGTAGTTGAACATGCACTGCGTTGGATTCGGGGTCGACAAAGCCATGCCAAAGGCCCAGTGCACAACGTTCTCTACTTTGATCCGTATGGCGTTGGTGTGAGACATTTTCCAATCGCATCGCTTCTCCGGAAACTTGCTGTTGGCCGTCCACGGCTGTATGGTCTTCACAGAGGGTAAGCTGCTCTGCAATTGCCGTGGGCACAAAATCCATCAGGTTGATGGCCTGATGCAATTGTGCTGCAAAAGCTCGATGGTACGAAATACACGTGGCAGTGCACGCGAGGGGCGCTGAGATTCCATCGCGTTCAAGATTTCCACCCGCTCTGCTTGCAAATGCTGGCCCGGGTCCATTTTCGCTTGGATGAAACAGCGCAGACGGTCCTCGAGCATGACGTCCTAGAAGCAATCACCACTGGTTTCCAGCCAGGCCCGGAGGCACACCAGCACACGCATGCGCACACAGAAAGCCACCACGTCCCACGCGTCGCTCGTCATGTTCATCAAACAAGAACCAGTTCGAGTTTTGCTTGTAAAGAAAGCTGCTGACAACAAAAAAGCACAATTTTTTTTTTCTCTCAAACTCTCTCTCTCTCTCTCTCTCTCTCTCTCTCTCTCTTGTGGTACAGTCACCGAGGGTATTTGTTACCTTTGGACATTTGTCAATTTTTCAAATGTTGTCAAAAATGGTTGTTGGAGAGGAGGTCGCACCTCATAGGGGTGATTTGTTCGATGGCAGTCGGCGTTGATTGTGGTCAGATCTCAGCCCAATTGGGATGATTCGAACCGCGCAGATCTGTTGAATCTATGAGATGCCATTTTGTGAGTGTAGCTGCCCTACATCAAGAGTTATATTATTGTTTTGTTTCTTCTATAGGACGTGCCTGCTCTGGAACTTGTGAGAACTTGATACACGACGTTTCTCGTCCATCGGGGACAGTGGTGCAGGGAGGCTTGGGCAACCAGCTTTTCAAAGATGCTCAATTAGGTAGGGCAAGAAAAGTCAGTAGAAAAGTGGGTTTTCGTGCAGTGGTGGCGGTTGCAATAAATAAGCTTCAATTCGTGTTATTTTTAAGACGTGGAAGTATGGGGCTAGTGCGATCAGTGAGTCGATATACGCCTTGTACTTTTTGGTACTCTCGTCGCAAGCCCTGATGAGCAAATCAATCTCGTTCTGGTCTGTAATTGAGCAGGCCAGAGGCGCGGCTGGCGCGTTTGATTCGAGGCTCGTTGCGTCCTGAAATGGTTGAGTTTGAGAGGTATAGTCTCGGAGCCAAAACTGGAGATCGGAGTCTGCAAAGTGACCTCCGACACGCGCAATAGGTTCTTGAGGCTCCTCTTCAACGATTCGGTCAAGAGAAGGTGCTGCTGATGCTGCTGTAAGAATGGGCGGGGTTGAATCTGAGGGAAGTGAATGTCGGTCATCACGCGGCGGAGACGCAGGCATGGGGGTAAGCTCGGCGTCCTCTCGGGACTCAATCTGCGCCAAAGGGGGTGCCAAAGGCTCGAATACCTCCCCAGCTGGCCTGCCTGGCGATGAGGGAGTGGTTTGGGGCTGTGGGCTCGAGTTGTGTCCTCGTGCGTGCGATGAGCTCGGCACGGCTGCCAGTCGTGCCGAGGCAATGCGATCGACAGAAGCTTTTCAGGTTGGCAATCGTGATGCGTTGTACGTTCAAAGCAGCACGTAGATCAGCTTCATTTGCCACTCTTGCTGCTCGTCGTTCCCTCGACGCATGAAGATGAACACGGCGCCGCTCACGCCCTTCGAGATCTGCGGCGCTTGGCCCCGATGACATTGGCCCAAAAATGGGGGCACGTCGCCGTCGTGACCGCTCTTGAGGCGTGATGCGATCGAGTAGGCGGCGCTGACGCGGCGTTGAGCGAATCATATCTTGATGACGCTCTTCAAGGCGCGAAAAACTCGCAGCCAGACGATCGAAGTGCGCCCGGCCTTCATCAAGACTCCAATTGGCGTCCCAAACCCGTACCAGTGGCTGCGGCGTTGTGTTTGACCTCGGAGTGCTTGAACCAGATGGCGTGCTTGCCGGGCTTTGGGGAGGCGTCACTGCTGTATCCTCGGGTTCAACGTGTGAGGGTTGGTTCTTCATGTGTCTAACAGCTCGCTCCAAGCGCGTAATGCCTGCATGGCGGAAGGCAGCCTGTACCCGTTTGACTTGACTGCTTTGAAAGTGGATGGCAAAATAAAGAGCACACAATTCCTCGTCGAGGGTGGCTGCCTCTCCAACTAGCTGCCGTGAATGGCGCAGTGTATAAGAAATACGTGTCCGATTGATATGTTGATGCCATTGATCATTCGGGGATAGGCAATGGCTCGTATTCGGGGGGATCAAAAATAAAAAAATGTTGATCGAGCGAAGGTAGTTGGTGACTGCAAGCGACATGCGGGTGCTGTGTCCATCCGAAAGCAGAATAATGGGCTCGGTATGCCCGAGAAAAGATCTGATTCGTCGACAAAAGGCAACGAAGAGGTGGCGATTGATCCAACCACTTTTCGTTGAACAGCAAAAAAAATGCGAATAGTCTGGGTTGCCCGTGATTGATTCGGGGAGCTGTGCCGGCCCAACCTCGTCTCCTCCAAGACCACGATTTGCATGAATCACCATTGGCGGCAACACGGTCCCATCCATTGCAATGCTGAGAACCAGCGTGATCGTCTCATTGTAGGTTCGTCCGGGAAGACACCCTTGATCTACAGTTCGGTCGGCTGAGGAATACACCTTGACATTCCTTGTGAATCCGGCACGGAGACCAGGCATCTCATCCACGGATAAGATACGGCCAAGACCTGGGGCCGGCATGAATAAGAACAGACATGCATCAGGAGGATACAAAAGTATGTTTGCAGCACATGCAGACGTAGACAGGCAGCAGCGCTTGCGCTGTCTAGGAAAGTCAACTTACAGTTGGTTTTGATCATGCCAGCATGACGCCCTGAGCGATGAACGAAGTCAAGGTCTGCCAAGAGCTCGTCAAGACTCGAAAAATGTCGTGTACAAGCCTCGGCTGTTGCGGCTGTTACTCTTGCTGGATTCTGAGTCACCGCGGTGGTAAGATAAATGTTCGAGTCGGACTCCAATCCTCGAAACCAGTCATTGCTCAAACGCGCCTGGCTCATGGGGTTGTCCGAGCTTTCGGCCTCTTGATGACGAGCAAGAAGAGCAAGCTCAGCAGAGCTGAGTGTGGGAATCCGATCAAGCAATTCGCTATTCGTATTGAGTGCGTCCTCTCGGGCACTGCGACGAATCTCAAGAAGCTCGCACACAACCTCCACGATCATGCCACGGCTCTTACACGCACGCTTCTCACTGCAGGTCTCTAGCCAGTTTGTCAAAGCTACACGCTCATGCGCCAGAAGAATCCGCCTGCCGTCATGAGGTTGGATGCCTCGCTGTCTCCGCCGTTGCGCAGCCACAAGATCGGCTCTGGTGATACCGTACAGCTTCAGAAGCCCGTCGGATCGATTGGGGCGCCCCTTCCGGGCACTGGCGCTCGTAGGAGGGTTGACCAGGCTGCCAAGTTGTTGACGCGTCAATTGACGAAGGCCATCAACCTCTAAATACTGTTGAACTTCAATGGACGTCATCGCACTCGCCGTGAGCTGACGTAGGAGTTGGGATACACGATCTGCCTTGGCTCGACGCTCGGCCTATAGGCACAAATACCACTGTCAGCTGTGTGCGGGGAAATGTCAACGTTCCAACACCAAAGAGTCACACAGTGAAGCGGTTCTCAACACCAAAGCGCACCGATATCTTTGACAAACCCGGCTTCCATCATGCCCGGCCGTTGCAACCCCTGTACATGCCTTTTTACCCCGGCGATGCCGCATGCCGGCCGACTGCCAGCCGAGGTGGGATGACCCGAAATGGCAGCCGCATATCAGCGGAGTCCGAGGAGATGAGCATTCGAAAGCTGGCTCAACCATAGCTAATGGTGTAAAAATTGTATCCCACCTTTTGATTTCTGAAGATTGATCGATTGGCCACCAGGGCGCTGCCGTTTATCTTCCTTGCCAGACAGCTCCAGCCTCCAACAGAGGGAAAAATGAACGGAAAAAAATTTTATTTTTGGTAACAAATGTCCAAAGGTAACAAATACCCTCGGTGACTGTAATGATTCTGTGAAAATGATATTTCTGCAAAAACGAATGATTGCGTTTTGATTCAGACTGAGTTGTAATTGAGGGGCCTGCTGAGGCAAGCTTCATTTGGCAGTGACGTTCCGG